AGCTATTATTACACACTCATCATAGAGAGACCCCTGAACCCCCCCTACTACAGCTATTATTACACACTCATCATAGAGAGACCCCTGAACCCCCCCTACTACAGCTATTATTACACACTCATCATAGAGAGACCCCTGAACCCCCCCTAATAACTACAAAAGCATGCGTAAAAAAAAAAGCCTAAAATTAAGCCTTTAAAAAAAACCTGACCTACTTATTCGTCATCCGAGGGCACTAAAAGTGCCGACTTCGGGTAGTGGATGTGACGGGAAACGGGTGATTCTATAAAAATACGAAATTTTGAACCACTGTCTTGTTGATGTTTTCCCCAACCCTGACATCCAGATGCCAAAGGAAAAAAACATTTTTGACTGACCCATTGGGCAAAGATGAAGCATGCAGGTGAGAACGAAAACCAATGCGCATCAGGAACATACCTTTATTTGAGTTCGTCTAAACTCTCTCTTGGAGGTCATGTGCAGAACATAAAATTATATCATAGTATATTGTGGGTACAATGTCGGATAAGTAGATAAATTGTAATGTTGCTTCGTTAGAAGAAGAGAGACCCACCTATCTCATTTCTGCCTGATGCTAGTATTGCTAGTCTGATGTTTCATTGTCATTAGTTCGTGAAATATGTGTAGATTATGCTTTCTCTTTTTTCACTCAATGACTTACTTTTGTTTTTCTTTACAGATCTGAATATAATGAAGGAGATTTGATTGTAGTGAATAGGCCCAAGACGGAAATATCTAAGTTAAGTTTGCAAAGAAGTCCGAGTTGAAGAATGAACAGCAAGCAGCAACAAGAGGTTCCGGATGTTGCAGATAGTAAGACAAGTCCAGCTGGGGATGGGGTGAAGAAGCGGACGGTCATCGTGAAGGATGAGTTGAGTGAAGGAGGAGAACAGGTTCACGTGATTTACCTGAACGTACCCGAGGGAGACGAGCCACAGGTGCTGGACCTCACCAACCTCCTGGCGCAGGAAGGGATTCAGGTACTCTTGTACATATAATATATGTGAATCTATTAATTACACTGCCCTCCACTGAAAAAAATGACAGTATTACTGTGTGAATGATCCAAAGTGGCCTGTACTGTAACAATGTGATCACAAGCAACACATCAGTGTGGTAGGGCCTATGTATTGACTTGTTTCACCAGGTAATTGTTCAATCGGTGGGTTCCTCCTCTGCCTGTGGTTGGAGGGCATCATTGGTCAGTCTTACTTCTTGTCTTTCTCACTCTTGACTCTTGTTTTTGTCTGTCTGTCTGACTTTTTCCATGAAATGGCTGTTGTACTGTGGCTGTTGTACTGTGTTGTACTGTGGCTGTTGTACTGTGTTGTACTGTGGCTGTTGTACTGTCAGGAAGGAGGGTTCAACCTCTACCATTTCCCTATGGCTGTTGTACTGTCAGGAAGGAGGGTTCAACCTCTACCATTTCCCTATGGCTGTTGTACTGTGGCTGTTGTACTGTCAGTAAGGAGGGTTCAACCTCTACCTTTTCCCTCATGTTCAGGTGGTTCAGCAGTCTGGCTCTGCCGGCAGCGTGGCGGAGACCCAAGTGGTTGGATCGGCGGACATTGTGATTGAGGACGCCAGCGGCGCGGACATCACAATGCTGGCTGATCAGTCGGAAGTTCAGTCGGCAAACGCCTTGCTGCGACTGGCCACCTCCCACAGTCATGACGGGACTGGCCATGTGGGCCAGGTGGCCGTGCCTCGGAAGCCAGAGGGGAACCCTGGAGCAGAGAACCAGGTACATTGATGAGGACAATATATATAATAACAGAATGACATCATCGATTAAGTCTCCCCGTTCTTTTCTTGCCCTCTACCTTTGCACCCACAATACACTGTAAGTTTGGGGAGATTTTTCCATATCCTGTTGATGTAATTATTTGCATGCAAGACTTTATTTGTTGAAAACATAGTCTGTTGATCTGATCAAAGAGCTGTGGAGCGTTGCTCTGCTAAGAAATGTCCTATTGCGTGGACAGGTAATTCCGGCATATTGTCAGTCCTTCCACCAGGGGCTGAGTAAGTATGACTTGGGCACTCGTTATTTCTCAAAGAAAAACTAGGGTGAAAATAACGAAACAAAAGGAAACAATTGTGTAAGATGCCCTTTGATGTTTTTACCTGACTAATGCTTTTTTGAGGAAACACCCAGACATTTGATGTGGCACCTATAAAATGGCAGCTTGCACTGTATGCTTCCCAGGAGGTTGAGATTGTTTCAGAATGCTATCAGGTCTCCTGGGGTCATTATTTAGATTGTACAGCACATAGAGCTTGTTTTGAGCTCTCCAAATGCTATTTATTATTATTATCATCATTGAAGTGATTGTTGAAGGACGTGGGTGGTTTGTGGCTGTCTTCCCACCAGGACGCTGCCCCGGCCCAAGCTCTGCTACAGCTCTCCACGGAGCCTGGTGCCGCCTCCACGTACATCGTGTCGGACAACGGACAGATGATCCCCATCTCTCAAGTCAGGTAGTCAGCTACAGCACACTTTGTTCCCCATCTCTCAAGTCAGGTAGTCAGCTACAGCACACTTTGTTCCCCATCTCTCAAGTCAGGTAGTCAGCTACAGCACACTTTGTTCCCCATCTCTCAAGTCAGGTAGTCAGGTAGTCAGCTACACCACTCTTTGTTGAACACCAAACCATGCAACTCTTAAAGGACGCGGCAGATACATATGTCTGATCAGCGGTAGATTCTAGATCAAAGGCAACATTGTGGGCCCCTCTCTACTACAACTTGTAAAAACTTTCAGTTTGAGCGTTTTGAAGAAGAGCCTGCGTGATGACGAGGCCACCAGGTGTTTTTTGCTGATGTGTAGAGAGCTGTGGTAGGTTGGGATGGGTGGTCCAAAGATCCGCTGAGCCTGTCCATTGTGTCGTAGGTTGGGGTGGGTGGTCCAAAGATCCGCTGAGCCTGTCATTGTGTCGTAGGTTGGGGTGGGTGGTCCAAAGATCCGCTGAGCCTGTCATTGTGTCGTAGGTTGGGGTGGGTGGTCCAAAGATCCGCTGAGCCTGTCATTGTGTCGTAGGGGAAAGGGACGTAATTCTCTTCACTTCACTCAGGTGGGAATGGCTAGCCGGCTGTAGATATTTTCCTATAAATAGGGCAAATTTGTCCTAAGACTGGTCGTCCTATCTCTCCGTCTGCTGTGTCTGTGTTCAGGTCGTCCTATCTCTGTGTCTGTGTTCAGGTTGTCCTATCTCTCCGTCTGCTGTGTCTGTGTTCAGGTCGTCCTATCTCCTGTCTGGTGTGTCTGTGTTCAGGTCGTTCTATCTCTGTGTCTGTGTTCAGGTTGTCCTATCTCTGTGTCTGTGTTCAGGTTGTCCTATCTCTGTGTCTGTGTTCAGGTCGTCCTATCTCCTGTCTGGTGTGTCTGTGTTCAGGTCGTCCTATCTCTGTGTCTGTGTTCAGGTCGTCCTATCTCCCGTCTGGTGTGTCTGTGTTCAGTTCGTCCTATCCCTGTGTCTGTGTTCAGGTCGTCCTATCTCTGTGTCTGTGTTCAGGTCGTCCTATCTCCCGTCTGGTGTGTCTGTGTTCAGTTCGTCCTATCCCTGTGTCTGTGTTCAGGTCGTCCTATCTCTGTGTCTGTGTTCAGGTCGTCCTATCTCTGTGTCTGTGTTCAGGTCGTCGGCGCTACTGGAAGGGAGTACGGCAGAGGTTACCACCATCGCCATCTGCCAGTGCTGGTGCGGCCAGGAGTTTTTCTCCCAGGAAGATCTGGAGCATCACAAGCGGGCCAAACACAAGACGAAAAGGTCAGTCATGTCACTGCTTGTCGCTGCTTGTCTCTGCTTGTCTCTGCTTGTCTCTGCTTGTCACTGCTTGTCTCTGCTTGTCACTGCTTGTCTCTGCTTGTCTCTGCTTGTCACTGCTTGTCTCTGCTTGACTCTGCTTGTCTCTGCTTGTCACTGCTTGTCTCTGCTTGTCTCTGCTTGTCACTGCTTGTCTCTGCTTGCCTCTGCTTGCCTCTGCTTGCATCTGCTTGTCTCTGCTTGTTGCTGCTTGTCTCTGCTTGTCGCTGCTTGTCTCTGCTTGTCTCTGCTTGTCGCTTCTTGTCTCTGCTTGTCTCTGCTTGTCACTGCTTGTCTCTGCTTGTCACTGCTTGTTGCCGCTTGTGTAAAAAGTCCTTTGTGCTGGGGTCTAAGTTAGAGGGGTTGAGATCAATGATGGAAGAAAAGTTTTAGTACACATTTAATATTAATAATAATCAACATTTATATAGCGCATTTCCCCCCAAAATAGCTCAATGCGCTTTACGTTGGAATACCCTTTTTCTAAATCTTTCGTACTACTTCCTTTCTTCTTATGCAATATCTATATTATATTTATATCTATATTATATATTTGACGATATATAAATTCAAATATTATTATTATTGTGGTTAGTTGGCAGGTGCTCTGGTATGGTTTGCTCCTTTCCTATCAAACATCTATCATCCTGATCTCTCCTTCTTTGTTGTGTTTGTTACTCTCATCTAACACATCCATCTTTTCTTCTGCACTTGTATGACCTTATTGCCAGTACCGTAAAACTCTCACTTAACCTAAAATATTAGCCTATTATTAATAATAATATTATTGTTATTGTTTTTAGTACTACTACTGCTATGGTTATGATTATTTATTTTTTTTAAAGTTCATTATCATAATTAAGATTGGAGTACAAACTTTCTTTTTATCCTGTACATCTCAGCAGACTGGAGTCGGGAGGAGTGCGCAAGTGTGTGTTGTGCGCGGAGACGTTCCTGTCTCTCAAGGAACTGTCAGACCACCAGGCGAAGGTTCACCCGGACGGAATGCCCTGGGAATGTTCCGTCTGTCAGCGACGCTTTTCCAAAAAGATCGGAGTGAAAGCTCACATGAGGGCGCATGCCATGAGCAAGCAGTATCAGTGCACGTCGTGCAAAAAGTGAGTACGGGCAGGCAGCGGGAGTGGGAACTGAACGGGGCAGGGGAGATGCCAGTCACTACTTGTTGTTGCTCTTCTTCATCTTCTTCGTCTGTCTTCTCCTTGCCTTGTTTGCCCCCACCTCATCATCATCATTCTCCTCCATATTTTGCTTTCTCCTCCTTCTCCTCCTCCATATTTTGCTTTCTCCTCCTTCTCCTCCTCCATATTTTGCTTTCTCCTCCTCCATATTTTGCTTTCTCCTCCTTCTCCTCCTCCTGACTCAATATTTTGC